TACCAAACAATGCAAGACCCCATAACTCGCCACCACTAAACCCACACCTTAGAGGACTTCGACCACTGTTTAGCTTGACCAGCAAGAAATTACTACATCATCGCAACTGCTGTAGGGATAAAACGACTTCTCCAGAGTAAAACTCGGTTATACCTTAAAGATAAAAGGAATCATGTGTGGGAGTGGTAAATGCTTTAACAAATAAAATGTTTGGACATTTTTTAAATTTCCTTTCCTTGTCATAGATATATGGGCGAATAATAATTAATGGCCTCATATACTATCGAAAGGAATTCCCTTATGCCTATAAAAAGGTCAAATATCAAAGTCAGAATTCATCCATTTATACTAAACAAGAATACGCAAAATCAGTAATCCTACAACAGAAGGAGCTTTCAAGCACCCAGCTTCTCAAAACAAACAGAAGATACCAATGTACATAGTCAAAAGGTCTAAAAGAGCAAAATGGCATACCCGCCATTGTAAGATCGGTCTGGAGGCCATGTCCACCAACTTCGTACATCTCAGCCAGACGGGCCAGCAGACGGTGAACAGGCGAGAGATCCTCTGCAGAGTCATAGTTACCCTCGGCGTCGCAGCCTTCATCAGCATCACAGGCACCACCAGGGACGGTGACACCAGCGTTTTCGATGGCTCGACGGTACCATGACATTGCTTCTGCCCACGGCCGACCCGCAGAACCCGCGGGGACAGGGAAGCCACGATGCGAAGAGAGGAGGACGATAAAGTCGTCCACTGGTGTAGTACGTAAGTTCAGTGCTTCTCTAATAGCCCCTCGATCCACTAATGGTGGCGCGCCTGAGTCAACCCCACCAAATACAACTGAGGCGTCCATATAGCGGGCGAGGAGAATCATGCAACGACGATCGCCACCCATCGACGACCGCCATAAATAATCGACACCCAGAGTGAGATCATCCTCACGGGGCTAAATCGTTGCAAGTAATCACTAATCCGCGGCCAGGTTGCATAGACAAATCAAGCAACTAAAGGGGATGAACTACCTTAATGGGGCAGTCAGAAAGAAGCTGTGTAGGGAGCCCAAGATAGTAGTGAGCCATGACGATAAGAGCCTCAAGGCACCCTAACTGGGCAGCAAGACGTTCGTGAAACAAAACCGACTTCCAATCGATTAACCTCGACGCATCAATGTCATTTGATTCCGTGTTATGGTCCAGTGGTAGACCACCAAGTCCGTTCTGTGACCAGCCTCCAATGTGCCGTTTCACGAACCTGCTAGCTTCATGCAAGCGAGCAAGTTCGTGATGCACCTGCCCCAAAATGGATTGACCAATCTCCTGATCCAAATTAGAAGGATGAGTTGCAGAAGCTGGCTTGTGTGTTTCACGAATGGTCTGATGTAGAAGACTTCCAACCGTTGCGGCCGCCAGGTCATTGTCTACATCAGACGACTCACTAATAGTTCGTGTTCTCCGCCCCCGAAGACGGAAGGGCGCAGTACATGCTTCATCTTCCCAGCTGAAACCCGAATCGACGTCAAATGTAGAATCAAGAAGAACGGGTAAGTCAGTGTCAACACAATCAGCGCTGTTTGGTGAGAGACCCTTGGAAATTTGGGACTTTGTGTCGACAATTGAAGACCCGTGGTTACCCAAGTCGGTGGCCGTGGAACCACTGAACGTGCGGAAGCGACGACGGACGCGAAATTCCTCATCCTTAGCGACAGTGGGACCGTAAAATTGCCTAGCATTCGACCGATAACAGGCAGAAAGGGACGGAGAGGGTGAAAAACCGAGCGGAATCATACCGTAAGAGAGGGACCGCTTCCGAGCTTGCAGATGTACGGATGCATCACTGTCAGTAGGAGAAGACGGGAGAGAAGGGTCATTCGGATGAGGAAAAGGTTTATTCGCGGAAGGCTAAAACATACATTATAAATAATTGAATCATGTAGCAGCATCAAAGTAGAAGAGGATAAGGCTTACTGAAGTGCACTCAAGTGCCTCAAAATCCTCGAAATCATCAATATCCACCTCGAATTGGTTAGCTTCGCCTTCAATATCCAAATTAAGCCCCGCATCACCATCATAAAGTTCTTTAACTTCGTTCTCAGAGAGGTCGAATGGAGCTAGACCAAGGTAATTGCAGAGGGGGTTACAGCGATGTGAATGGAAAAATAGGGCCATGCCTCGAAGACCCAGATTTCCGTCGTTGTAACCGAGTCCGTCGGCAGTATGGATCTGAGGATCGGTATAGAGATCGCCGACTCCTTGAATATCCACAACCAACAGACGATGACCAGAATGTTCAAAAGTGAAGTGACTAAAGGCCTATGGATCGACGATGAGTGTAAATAGGTAACATTGGTAGAATAATATAGTTAAGAAATAAATGATTGAGACACTTTAATCCGCAAACTCAAAAGAATGGGATAAATGCCCAAAAAACAAAAAAATCAAATTTGTTTACCCCGTCAAGGTTATGGAACGTAATGAGACTAGATTTTCATAGAGTGCAGAACATAAGGACATCATTTCTCCTAAAATAGAGCTAAACATGATAAAAGACATCTGAAAATGACACTATTACTATTCCAGCCCAAAATTCCGAGGAATACATCAAGCAGGGAACACCAGTATACCATAACCAAAGAGAGATTCATCAGAATAAAAGTTGTCAAGGTTATTGTTCCTTAAGTCGGTAAAGCTTGCCATAAAAGACCCGTCCATCTACACATTGTATAGAGCTCATTTTTTTAGGAAAAATAGGCTAGTCGTTCACCTGTGGAGTGTTCCTAGGCTGATTGTCAACAAACCCCGAGTTGGAGTTGTACTTCCGATATTCTCCATCCATGAAGCGTTCAATGTGGTAGAATTGAGAAGACTGGGTTTTCTTCTGTATTGAGGGTATACTCATCATCGTGATGGATCCGCGCCGCTTGGGGTCACAAGTCGGTGGACTGTCCGGACTGTTCAGCGGAATTTCTATTACAGACATCTGGAAAACGTCCACCTTCGGGAGAAGGGGTTAGCAGGAATAATGAATAAGGAAGTCGTGACAACCGAAAGTAAGACATTTACAAAGCACCTTCTTGGGTGGATTCTGCTTGTTGAAGGCCTCGGCCCACAATTTCGCCTCCATTTGCAGACGCACATCATCCAAGTATACTGAACTGCTAACGGGGGAAATATATCGTTTAGCAACATAATTTGATGCAGCGCTCCAGTCACCATTGCCAGGTAGTTTCTTCCTGCAAGAAGCAAAGAAAAGAACTTAAGACTTGGCACATCCTGATAGCGCCTTAAGTCGTAGCTATGAATGCATGAGAAAGAAAAATATTTAAGCAAAAATTTCAAATTCGTCAAATTTACAATCTGAAGCATTCTCTCATAGCGCCTCTGTTAAAGGCTTTATCCTCCATTTTAACTAATATGTTGTCTTTGATCCATTTCTTTTTAAGCGCACTATATCGATGACGGACGGCTGCAATCGTTGGCGTCGACTTCAAATCAAAATCGCTCCAGAGATCTAGCTTTGCCGCACGAGTGCGAACCTTTTGCAAGGCTGACTGCCATAATTTAGCTCCTTAATGTTCAAAAGAAGTACTCAAAAAATGGAAGAGGGTATGGGACAGAAACGATATGAACATCTCACCTGGAGAGTGAACAGCCTCCTGACTAGGCTGGTATACACAAATCGGCAACGGCTGTACATTGGAGTGCTTCACTTTTGCAACCCGTAAGTTAGAAGAAACGTTGGCTTCCATTTAGCGATAGAGAACAATAGGTTTTGTAGGAAGAGTAAATAGAACATCTGTTCACTTTTGAAGCCTGTTAAAACCGCCTATTAACCACTCTTGATACTGCAAAATCAAGAGTGTAAAATAGTTCAAAAACGAGTGGATAGATCACAACAAAATCAGAGGCGAAACCAACAGCCACAGATACACGACGTGGGCTAGCTTAGAAATGAAGTAAATGTTTTAGAGGTAATTGGTTAGTTTAAAAGAAAGACGTCTGACCTAAAATAAATGCAACTTAGCTACGTTGATGCATTCAAACGAAAAAACAACGAATTAGGTTGCAAAGTTTTGATGTTAAAAATGTAGTTTTCAACACTATATATGTTACTTTTAAACTTAAGTTAAAAAATAAAAAAATGCGTAAAATGCACATTTTGCTAAAAGAATTGGTGAATAATTATGCAATGATAAAATCTACTTGACTAAGCTATACTTCCATTTGTGAATAAGAATTAAGTACGGTTGTCTAATTATTCATTTTGAATGGCAAAGTCGTACAGAACTTATAATACATTGAGCTGGCCTTCGAGCTAATTTATAGTCGGATCTCTCCCTTTCCTCCTCATATATATGTGTGTGACTCCACATGCGATCTTACTGCGTATGGCACATAGGCTCCGATTTCTATAAAAGTGAAAATAAATAAGATGTTTGGCTTCAGAAGT